GATGAGCTGAGATTGCAGCTCTCCAGGCTTGAGTTTTCCTGCTGGCTTTTGGCTTCTGGTTAAAAAAATAAGACACAAAACCACCATAAAACCTAGAACAGAAACCTCTTCACTCCCTGATCCCCTGATCCATCCCCCTTCCATGTTGTACAGGCAGGGACAGGGCCCAGCCTAAGAATTAAAAATAGATAGTGCCTCTATTATTTTATTTCCCCCCCCCCTTGTTTTATTTCATTCTGTGTTTTGCATAATCCTTGTCAAAGCCCTGGGCTGGGGTTTGTGTTCAGAATAAAACTTCTCCACCAAAACCCAAATGTTTCTCAGTCTCTGGTGAGGTGAGTTGAGGCTGCAGAGGTGGGGAAAGTCCCAGTTTTGGTGGGAAAACCAGGAGAATGGAGTTTGATCTTCTTGGCTGCTTGTAGGAGTCAAAGATCTGTGGATCAACTTGCTGGTGGGTTGTAAAAGAAGAAGCTGGGCTTGTTCTTGAGAGGAATTCCAGTGATTTTTCCTAAATAATCCCAACCTTCAAGCCAAGTGCTGCAGGGAAAAGGTGGATTTTAAGGTGGGCACAAAGGGTGAGTTTTTATCCAGCCTTTCCATGTGTTTGTGGACTGAACAAGGCTCCTCTTAGCCCCCAGTCCAGGCTCTGCCTCCAGCTGTAAAAACCTGCTCAGTGGGAGCAGCTCCCAAAGGTCCTGGCCCTGCTGTGTCTTTCCTGAAGGGAGAAGGAGCCCAGGGCAAGTTTTACCAGGAGCTTTTAAGGCACCTGCTGGTTCAGACATTTTGTAAGTCCCAGGATTCCCCTGGGACTCAATCCCAAGCCCTGGGATCCCCCTGGGACTCAATCCCAAGCCCTGGGATCCCCCTGGGACTCAATCCCAAGCCCTGGGATCCCCCTGGGACTCAATCCCAAGCCCTGGGATCCCCCTGGGACTCAATCCCAAGCCCTGGGATCCCCCTGGGACTCAATCCCAAGCCCTGGGATCCCCCTGGGACTCAATCCCAAGCCCTGGGATCCCCCTGGGACTCAATCCCAAGCCCTGGGATCCCCCTGGGACTCAATCCCAAGCCCTGGGATCCCCCTGGGACTCAATCCCAAGCCCTGGGATCCCCCTGGGACTCAATCCCAAGCCCTGGGATCCCCCTGGGACTCAATCCCAAGCCCTGGGATCCCCCTGGGACTCAATCCCAAGCCCTGGGATCCCCCTGGGACTCAATCCCAAGCCCTGGGATCCCCCTGGGACTCAATCCCAAGCCCTGGGATCCCCCTGGGACTCAATCCCAAGCCCTGGGATCCCCCTGGGACTCAATCCCAAGCCCTGGGATCCCCCTGGGACTCAATCCCAAGCCCTGGGATCCCCCTGGGACTCAATCCCAAGCCCTGGGATCCCCCTGGGACTCAATCCCAAGCCCTGGGATCCCCCTGGGACTCAATCCCAAGCCCTGGGATCCCCCTGGGACTCAATCCCAAGCCCTGGGATCCCCCTGGGACTCAATCCCAAGCCCTGGGATCCCCCTGGGACTCAATCCCAAGCCCTGGGATCCCCCTGGGACTCAATCCCAAGCCCTGGGATCCCCCTGGGACTCAATCCCAAGCCCTGGGATCCCCCTGGGACTCAATCCCAAGCCCTGGGATCCCCCTGGGACTCAATCCCAAGCCCTGGGATCCCCCTGGGACTCAATCCCAAGCCCTGGGATCCCCCTGGGACTCAATCCCAAGCCCTGGGATCCCCCTGGGACTCAATCCCAAGCCCTGGGATCCCCCTGGGACTCAATCCCAAGCCCTGGGATCCCCCTGGGACTCAATCCCAAGCCCTGGGATCCCCCTGGGACTCAATCCCAAGCCCTGGGATCCCCCTGGGACTCAATCCCAAGCCCTGGGATCCCCCTGGGACTCAATCCCAAGCCCTGGGATCCCCCTGGGACTCAATCCCAAGCCCTGGGATCCCCCTGGGACTCAATCCCAAGCCCTGGGATCCCCCTGGGACTCAATCCCAAGCCCTGGGATCCCCCTGGGACTCAATCCCAAGCCCTGGGATCCCCCTGGGACTCAATCCCAAGCCCTGGGATCCCCCTGGGACTCAATCCCAAGCCCTGGGATCCCCCTGGGACTCAATCCCAAGCCCTGGGATCCCCCTGGGACTCAATCCCAAGCCCTGGGATCCCCCTGGGACTCAATCCCAAGCCCTGGGATCCCCCTGGGACTCAATCCCAAGCCCTGGGATCCCCCTGGGACTCAATCCCAAGCCCTGGGATCCCCCTGGGACTCAATCCCAAGCCCTGGGATCCCCCTGGGACTCAATCCCAAGCCCTGGGATCCCCCTGGGACTCAATCCCAAGCCCTGGGATCCCCCTGGGACTCAATCCCAAGCCCTGGGATCCCCCTGGGACTCAATCCCAAGCCCTGGGATCCCCCTGGGACTCAATCCCAAGCCCTGGGATCCCCCTGGGACTCAATCCCAAGCCCTGGGATCCCCCTGGGACTCAATCCCAAGCCCTGGGATCCCCCTGGGACTCAATCCCAAGCCCTGGGATCCCCCTGGGACTCAATCCCAAGCCCTGGGATCCCCCTGGGACTCAATCCCAAGCCCTGGGATCCCCCTGGGACTCAATCCCAAGCCCTGGGATCCCCCTGGGACTCAATCCCAAGCCCTGGGATCCCCCTGGGACTCAATCCCAAGCCCTGGGATCCCCCTGGGACTCAATCCCAAGCCCTGGGATCCCCCTGGGACTCAATCCCAAGCCCTGGGATCCCCCTGGGACTCAATCCCAAGCCCTGGGATCCCCCTGGGACTCAATCCCAAGCCCTGGGATCCCCCTGGGACTCAATCCCAAGCCCTGGGATCCCCCTGGGACTCAATCCCAAGCCCTGGGATCCCCCTGGGACTCAATCCCAAGCCCTGGGATCCCCCTGGGACTCAATCCCAAGCCCTGGGATCCCCCTGGGACTCAATCCCAAGCCCTGGGATCCCCCTGGGACTCAATCCCAAGCCCTGGGATCCCCCTGGGACTCAATCCCAAGCCCTGGGATCCCCCTGGGACTCAATCCCAAGCCCTGGGATCCCCCTGGGACTCAATCCCAAGCCCTGGGATCCCCCTGGGACTCAATCCCAAGCCCTGGGATCCCCCTGGGACTCAATCCCAAGCCCTGGGATCCCCCTGGGACTCAATCCCAAGCCCTGGGATCCCCCTGGGACTCAATCCCAAGCCCTGGGATCCCCCTGGGACTCAATCCCAAGCCCTGGGATCCCCCTGGGACTCAATCCCAAGCCCTGGGATCCCCCTGGGACTCAATCCCAAGCCCTGGGATCCCCCTGGGACTCAATCCCAAGCCCTGGGATCCCCCTGGGACTCAATCCCAAGCCCTGGGATCCCCCTGGGACTCAATCCCAAGCCCTGGGATCCCCCTGGGACTCAATCCCAAGCCCTGGGATCCCCCTGGGACTCAATCCCAAGCCCTGGGATCCCCCTGGGACTCAATCCCAAGCCCTGGGATCCCCCTGGGACTCAATCCCAAGCCCTGGGATCCCCCTGGGACTCAATCCCAAGCCCTGGGATCCCCCTGGGACTCAATCCCAAGCCCTGGGATCCCCCTGGGACTCAATCCCAAGCCCTGGGATCCCCCTGGGACTCAATCCCAAGCCCTGGGATCCCCCTGGGACTCAATCCCAAGCCCTGGGATCCCCCTGGGACTCAATCCCAAGCCCTGGGATCCCCCTGGGACTCAATCCCAAGCCCTGGGATCCCCCTGGGACTCAATCCCAAGCCCCGGGATCCCCCTGGGACTCAACCCCAAACCCCAGGATCCCATGGGACTCAATCCCAAGCCCTGGGATCCCACTGGAGTGGCTTCTGCCTGGGGCTGAGCACAGGGAGCCCCTCCCCAGCAGCCTGAGCAGGGAGTGATGAGTCCTTTGGTGCCCTCCCCTGGGCCTCAGACCAGAATTCTTCTGCTCCTAAATTTCTCCTCCAAACTTCTCCCCCAGAATTTCTCCTCCCTCCCCCAAAACTTTTCCTCCCCCTCCGACTACCTTGTCTTCATCCAAACTTCTTCTTCTCCCAGTCTTACTTCTCCCAAGCTCTCTCTTCTCTTCCAGGCTTCTTCTCCTTCCAAACTTCTCCCCAGCTGCTCCCAGTCTCTGATGGTCCCTCTGCAGCTCTTGGCTCAGCTCAGATTGACTTCAGGGATTTCTCCACGAGGGCCAAGGAAATAAATAAACCCTGGAGCTGTGTCCCCACCCCCTGAGGCCTTGGGGACATCCTTGTTGTCCCCTCTGCTCAGAAGGCTGGAGTCACCACGTTGTTGGGTCTCATTTCTGAGGGTCCCATCTGTGAAGTGTTACCTCCCTCTTGTGGCATCAGAAGGACTGGAAACAGGGAGGAAAATGGATCCTGCTTCTTTCTACCTTAGGACCCAGGGCTCAAGGCCCAGGAAGGTGAGGCTGGATGTGGGGTAAGGATGTGCTGAAAGCAGGGGGGGAAGTGCAGCCTTCAAATCTAACCCAAGATGAACCTCCAAACCCTCAAATTTAATCCCAGATGAACCCCCAAAACCTTCACATCTAACCCAAGGTGAACCCCCCCAAAAACCTTCACATCTAACCCAAGATGAACCCCCCCAAAACCTTCACATCTAACCCAAGATGACTCCCCACAACCCTCAACCTTGCACATTTACTGTTTCAAGGCAAGAAAAGCTCATGAGCAAGATAGACCTGAACTGTGTTTCCATGCCTGAATTCCTAGGGGTATCTCCAGGCTTTCTCTACTATCTGTCACCAGATGGTGACAGATCTTCTCATGAGAAGACCCCAGAAACCATTTGAAAAGCTGCTGTTGTGCCCTCAACACGGATAAACCAAGACAAGAGCAGGACTTGGTGACACACCTGGAGCCTGGGAGTGTTGCCCAGGGCTCAAACCACGAGGAGACCTTCAGGAATCCTTGAGGAAGAACAAAATGATGCTGCAGAGCCTGGAAATGATTCCTCAGCTGCAGGAGGTGAGGGCTTGGTCCCAGCAGGAGGTTTGGGGGGGATGGATGTTGGAGCAGGAGGATGTTAGAGGGTTGTGGGGAAAAATATTCAGTGGAAAGGAAAGCAGGGACAAGCAGCCCATGCCCAGGACTATCCTACCAGCTGTTCCTGGTGTGTTGGGACCTGGTGGACATTTGTGAAGTGAAAACTCTGCCTGTTACAGCATTTTAAGGAAGAATCTGGTTTGGGAGCAGAAAAAGGACAGTGATAAACCTCACCTGTGAGGTGGGCACCATGAAAACCAAGGATGATGAGGAAACACCAGGTTCAGCCAAGCCTGCTCGGGTCCTTCCCTGCTCCAGAGGAGTGTGCTCTGTCCTGGTAAATCCCTGCCCTGCTTCTCCAAAAGGTTTTGAAGGCCAGGAGTGGTCTTGTTGTTGTGGAATGTCTCCCTGTGCTGCCAAAGGGGAATGACAGGGATGATCCCTGGGGAAGAGGTTTTACCCCTGTGGTTTGCTCCGTGTAGCTGAGGTTGAGCCCCTCTTTCATGGAATGGTTTGGGTTGGAGGGACCTTAAAGACCATCCAGTTCCAACCCCCCTGCATGGGCAGGGACACCTCCCACCAGCCCAGGTTGCTCCCAGCCCCATCCAACCTCCCCTTCAGCATTGCCAGGGATGTTCAGGTGTCACGTTCTCCAGCTCTTGGGGAAATTGTCCAACTGCTCCTCCTCTTCATGGAAAACAGAACAACAAACCCAAACCAACATCAATAACTTTATTAAAAGCTTCCTGGCATTTCACTTCTCACCAGCTTAGAGCTGGTTCTCACTGGTTGCCATTCTGCTCATTCCTTACTCATGGCAGTTGCTGCAGGACCACCAGGGCTTCCAAACCTGATGATCTTAAACCATTAAATGTGTCCACTTGGTGAGGGTACAAACCACACGTTCTGCCAGGAATTGTCTCCTCCAGTAAACAGAGAAGTTAAGTCTCAATTTAATATTTAAAAAAAACAAACCCAACCAACCCTTTGTCTACTGTCTTCTTCAGAGCACCTTCCACCTCAGCCTTACAATGAGTTGCAGGAGAGTCAGAACTGGGTGAATTGGCCACTCAAAACATGGACCTGTTAAGTCCATGGTGGAAGCCAAGACTGGGCTTCTTCCAAGCACATCACTGTGTCTCCTCAGCCAGGAGCTCAGGGTGCTGCTGGGTCACTGCACCATAGACTCCCAGAGTGGTTTGGGGTGGAGGAACCTTAAAGATCATCTAGTTCCAAGCCCCCTGCATGGGCAGGGACACCTCCCACTAGAACAGATTGCTCTGATCTCCATCCAACCTGCCCTTGAACACGTCCAGGGATGGAGCAGCCACACCTTGATCTCCTTGTTTGGAAGCAGCTCCAGGATGACTGGAAACACACACTCCTCCCTTACCTCCAGAGTCCCACGGAGCTGCACATGCCTTTCTTCAAAGCCTGGCCAGATGTGGCACCACCTTTCTCACCCAGAGCTTCCTCAGGGCCCTCTTCACCTCCTTGTTCCTCAGGCTGTAGATGAGGGGGTTGAGACTGGGAGTCACGACCACGTAACAGGCTGCAACCAGCTTGGCCCCATCCTTGCTGTGGGGCTGGACATAGACCAGCAACCCCGACCCGAAGAAGATGGTGATGGCAACCAGGTGGGAAGCACAGGTAGAGAAAGCCTTCCACCTGGCCAAGGGCATCTTCATGATGGTGTGGAGGATGTAGCTGTAGGACACCAGGCTCATCAGGACAGGGCCCAGGATGTTGATCCCAGCACTGGAGACCTGCAGGACGTTGTTGGCTCCGGCGTGGGAGCAGGAGAGCTGCAGGAGGGCGGGCAGCTCGCAGAAGAAGTGGTCGATGCTCCTGGCCTGGCAGAAGGACAACCTGCCCGCCATCAGGGTGTGCACCAAGGAGGTGAGGAAGCCCGTGGTGTAAACCAAGCCCACCAGGGTGTAGCAACGGGCCCTGGACAGGGTGGTGGTGTAAAGCAAGGGGGTGCAGATGGCCACGAAGCGGTCGTAAGCCATCACCCCCAGCAGGAAGCACTCGGAGATGACCAGAGCCAGGAAAAAATACATCTGGGCAAAGCAAGCCAAGAAGGAGATGTGGCTGCTCCCCAGCAGGAAGGTCTGCAGAGCCTTGGGGACGACGGTGGAGGAGAGGCAGAGGTCGAGGAAGGACAGGTGGCTCAGGAAGAAGTACATGGGGGTGTGGAGCTGGGGGTCGGTCCTGAGGAGCAGGATCAGGGTGAGGTTCCCCAGCGCCGTGAGGAGGAACAGGGAGAGGAAGAGGGACAGGATGGTGGGTTGGAGCTGTGGGGAGTTGGAGAAGCCCAAGAGGATGAAGCCGGGCAGGGCAGTGAGGTTTCCCCCCCACATCCTGCCTGGAAAGGAAGGGAAATAAAAGGGAATGGGGAAGCAAAGCCCGGAGGGGGGAAATCCTGTGGGAGCCTCAGAGCTCAACCCACCTATTTTTACAGCTGCCTATTCATACCTGGTGGGTATTTATAGATACACATTGTGTGCATATATATATAAATACAGAGATATTTAAATATTATCTACATATTCATATATATATGGTGCATACATATACTCATATTGCCTATATTTTATATATTGTCTATATATTCTTACATGTATGTTGTATATATACACTTTTATTGGCTGTATATTCTTATATTGTGCATTTATTTATTCATACAGTGAATAAATTGATAAATATTGTCTATTTCCTTACAAGGGCAGGTTATTTTTATATCTAGTCTATCTATTACTATATTTTGTGTATAATTTTTATATAGTGTGTGTATATATATAGTGTATATAAACATAGCTGTTGTAGACATTTTTTAATATATAGCATATATTTTATATATTAAGATATCAATATATGAATACATATATATTAACACATATATTATTAATATTATATATTAATATGTTGTATATTGTGTGTATTAATATATAAATTATAAGTATAAATTAAGTATGTTAATATATAAATTGTGTGTATATTCATATATAAATGGTGTGTATATTCTTATATTGTGCATTTATTTATACATACAGTGAATAAATTGATAAATATTGTCTATTTACTTACAAGGGCAGGTTATTTTTATATCTAGACTATCTAGTACTATATTTTGTGTATAATTTTTATATAGTGTGTGTATATATATAGTGTATATAAACATAGCTGTTGTAGACATTTTTTAATATATAGCATATATTTTATATATTAAGATATCAATATATGAATACATATATATTAACACATATATTATTAATATTATATATATTAATATGTTTTGTATATTGTGTGTATTAATATATAAATTATAAGTATAAATTAAGTATGTTAATATATAAATTGTGTGTATATTCATATATAAATGGTGTGTATATTCTTATATTGTGCATTTATTTATACATACAGTGAATAAATTGATAAATATTGTCTATTTACTTACAAGGGCAGGTTATTTTTATATCTAGACTATCTAGACCATCTAGATGGTCTTGAAGGTCCTTTCCAACCCAAACCATGGAAAGGATCAAGGAATCTGCTCCTGGTGGCTTCTTAAGCCAAGTCAAGCTGCCAGAAGAAGTGTCTGGTGAAGCTTTCTCAGGAGGCAGTGAAGGTGAAGGTGGTTTTTTTGCAGCATGAAGCAAACAGCCCGAGAGAGAGAACTGGGCTGAGTGGGAGGGGAGGGGAAGCCCCGGGAGATGTGTTGGGGTGAAGGGACAAGGGAAAGATTCGTGCAGCAGGGGGTGAGGGTTCTGGTGCCACCAGCACTAAGAAACCCTCCCAGGGCACGGGAGGAGCAGCACGAGGAAGGTTCATGGCTGCAATCTGCTAAAGCCTTGCTTAGAATCCTACAGCCATGGAATGGGTTGGAGGGACCTTGGAAATCATCTCGTTCCAACCCCCCCTGCATGGGCAGGGACACCTCCCACCAGCCCAGGTTGCTCCAAGCCCCATTCAAGCTGCCCTTCAACACCTCCAGGGCTGTAGCAGCCACAGCTTCCCTGGGCAAACAGTTTCTTACCTGCTGGTGAGAAGGAGAGGAGCTGGTGGCTCCTCCAGAGCCCATCAGCAGGTGGAAGCCGTGGGTGGAGAGGAGGTGCTGGGAGCAGCTGGCTTGGGGTGGGTTTTATCCCTCAGGAAGCCTTACCTCAGCTCTCTGGGCAAGCTGCCCTCCCCTCAGGACCTTCCTCCAGCTGAGCTTTGTTTTGACCTGCCCAACAAAAGCCCTTCTCAATTCCCCACCTCCCCAAGCTCCTGCAGGGACCTGCCCAGGCCACCAGCTGCTCCTGCAGCAGGACCAGTCCAGGGTGATCTGCTTTTTATTTATCAGCAACTTCTATATTGAAAATAACAATAATAATAATAATAATTTAAAAATCCCTTTACTACTGACCAGGAGATCTGGTTGGGGATGATGATGAGGTTGGGTTGAAGGAAACTGAAACCAAACCTAATGCAGCTGCAGGAGAGGCTTAGAGCAGGGCCATGAGGAGTCTCCTCCAGCTGAGATCTTGATTTCCATGCTCTTTGCTGGTGTCCACACACTTGGAGAGAGCTCCAAAGCCTCCCTCAGCTGCTCTGAACCTCCAGGAGGCCTCACTCAAGGTGTACCAGTTTTGTTCTGATGGATCCTGAGTGCCACCATCTCCTGAAAGCTGCTGGAGGAAGGGCTGTTACACAACCCAGAAGACAAGCATAGGTAGGGTTGTCCCAGACACAGAAGGTGCTCTGGGTGTGTGGGGAAGCAAGATGGAAAAGGCTGAAGATGGTTTTAGATGTTTCTCAGGCAGGTTTGGTTTTCTGCTGGAAGGCACCAGACAGTCCCAGAGATGGGCTGGAGGTGGGTGGAAATGGGTTTCCCTCTGGTTTTTCCTTTCTTTCTTCCCCATTTGGGCTGAAATCCAGGCTGGTCGAGTGGGAAAAGCAGCATCAAAGAGGGAGAAAAAATGACCTTCACTCACCTTTGGGGCCAAAAACCACATTTGTTTTGTTTATTTCAGAGATTGAGTTTTGAAAAACACATGGAAAGTCAAATAGTCCACCAAGGGAAGGAGCCTGGGTGGGGGGGGTGTCTGCAGGGTGAATTGCTGAGCTTGAAAACCCAGCTCCAGGGCCCTCTGTGCTGCACTTGCTCCATCTCAAGGTGACCCCCAGGACACCAGGACCTTGGTTACTCCAGGGGAAAGGGAGCCCCAAAGTCTTCCCTCCCACCAGCACCCTGGTCCCTTACACCCCTGAGCTGCACCCATGGGCACAGCAGAGCCTCAAATCCAACTTGACCCCATTGACCACGAGCTCTTGGATGCCCAAGACACCACCACAGCCTCATTCCCTTCATGGTCTGGACCTAAAACTCCTGGAGAATTCCAGCAACACCCTCCCAACACCAGGAGCATCACCAGAGGACACCCATAACCCATGAGAGACCAGCCCCTGCCTGGTTGGTGGGGAAGAACTACTGCCATGAAGGAGAAAACCCCACAACCACATGGAGCCACCAAGCAGATGTTCCTTGTTGCAGAGCAGGGACCTCTCCTCCAAACACCCGTGCTGTGGCCAAAAGGCTTTTCCAGCAAACCCCACACCATGATGTGCATCAGACTTCTAAAAAAAAATAAACAGGATTGTACAAATTCAGTCCCAGAATCCAGGATTATCTTTAAATCCTGTTTCTTGGGCCCTCAGAGGAGACACATCCTGTCCCAACACGAGGCTTCTAACAGACATGAGCAGATTCTACTCTTCTCCATCATATAATTTTAGCCAATTTAACCCTTGATCAAAAATCCTTACAAGCCACCACCTTAACCCTGAAGTCTCTACTTCACTGCCACCTCCATTCTTCTCCCTGGAGCCTGACCATCAAGTTATGACTCTTTTGTAAGACCTAGAGAATGAATATTATTGATTTGAAGTCCTTTGTCGATACCATTTGATTTGAATCATGACTTTCCAGCCCATACATGGTGACTCTCAGGTCTCAGGGTGCAGCTGGGGAAAGTCCAGTCCCTCCCAGCACAGGACCTAGACTTGGTCCAAGGAGAAATGTGTTTTCTAGGTGTTTTGCTTCCAGGTGCATCCAGTCCCTGCTTCCTGAAGGTGCCACATCTAACCCTGCTTCCTGAAGGTGCCACATCTAACCCTGCTTCCTGAAGGTGCCACATCTAACCCTGCTTCCTGAAGGTGCCACATCTAACCCTGCTTCCTGAAGGTGCCACATCTAACCCTGCTTCCTGAAGGTGCCACATCTAACCCTGCTTCCTGAAGGTGCCACATCTAACCCTGCTTCCTGAAGGTGCCACATCTAACCCTGCTTCCTGAAGGTGCCACATCTAACCCTGCTTCCTGAAGGTGCCACATCTAACCCTGCTTCCTGAAGGTGCCACATCTAACCCCACATCTAACCTGGCTTCTTAAGGTGCCACATCTAACCCTGCTTCCTGAAGGTGCCACATCTAACCCTGCTTCTTAAGGTGCCACATCTAACGCTGCTTCTTAAGGTGCCACATCTAACCCTGCTTCTTAAGGTGCCACATCTAACCCTGCTTCCTGAAGGTGCCACATCTAACCCTGCTTCCTGAAGGTGCCGTATCTAACCATGGAAGGATGGCCCTCTCCTCTCAGCTGGCCAGGAGCTGTGTCTGGAGAAGGAGGAGAGCACTCTACCTTTTGCTTTCCTCATGGCATTCTTCACGTCCGTGTTCCTCAGGCTGTAGATGAGGGGGTTCAGCATGGGCACTGCCACGGAGTAGAGAGTGGCCACCACCTTGTCGTGCTCCGAGGAGCGGCCGGAGCCGGGGCGCAGGTACATGAAGAGGGCACTGCTGGAGTACAGGGTGACAGAGACCAGGTGAGAGGCGCAGGTGGAGGCTGCTCTGCGCAGGGCGGCGGCGGAGCGCGCCCGCAGGACGCCGGAGAGGACGCACGAGTAGGAGAGGAGGATGAAGCCCGTGGTGCTCAGCACGTTGAAGCCCACCAGGGCGGACACCACCCGCCGGCTGGCACGGGTGTCGGAGCAGGACAGGGCCAGCAGCGGGGGGCCGTCGCAGAAGAAGTGGTTGATCCTCCTGGAGCCGCAGAACGGGAGGCGGAAGATGGCGAGGGAGTGGATGGGGGGGGCGGGGGAGGCCGCCCAGGAGGGCGGC